GAACTCTGTGTCGTCCAAAACACACCGCTTCACTCTCCTGGGTTCACGGTCAATGGCCCCAGTTCACGGTCTTAGAGACCGTGAACTCGCCTGGTGTCAGTAACTTCGGTAAGTGCCCTAGACGCCTTGATGTTCACGGCCCATGCCTCCATTTCACGGTCTTAGCAGACCGTGAACTGCCATGTCCGACCATAAAAGGTGGCTGTTTCCTGGACGCGTTCACTTCTCTGTTACGGGGCAATTGTAATGGACACAATTGTCACGGTCTTCGGACTTTTCTTCGGTTTGTTGCGCTTTTTGACCTCCAATTATCACAAAACTCATCCTCGACCCTTCCACATGTGCTAGGACCTGAAAATGTATCAAAACAAGTACAACCTAGCGTTGCAGACAAATCAGGTTGCGAGTTTATCGAGTTTCGAGTCGGGCGGGTTGCGGGCGGATCGGGTTGCGGGTTGTTCGGGACAGCGCATCGAATTACTTACTCCTTATTTGCTACCAACTTACACATTTTATTACACTAATTTAAAATATTTTTCATAATTTTTAACCAAGTTATTTCTATCTCATCTATATATTAATTTAAAAAAAACTAGTCAAAATGTTGAATCAATTTGTATGATTTGCAAACTTCTCATGTAATTAATTGTAATTGGTAAAGTGCACTTGCTAGCTAATCGTAATATCAACATTTGCAACCAATAGACACTATTAGCAAACCAAACAAAGCACTAATCTATAAAAAAAAAAAAGAAGAACACTTTTTCTTATCTCAAACTTTTTTGGGTGGCAATATAGATTAATCAAAATAAAAATTCGACGACAATGTAGATCAATCCAAACGAAAATTGAGCAGCCTTTTGGAGTGGGAATGAAGAAGTTGGGCGGCAATATATATCAAGCAAAAAGAAAATTGGCAGGCAATGCAACGGGAAGCAAAATGGAGTAACTAAATAGACATGAAATATATATAATAAATTATAAGATTAATTCTCAGTAAAGTATAAACTTTTTTGTTTAACAAAAAAATATGAATCAAGATTCATCTAAAATTTTTTCAAGTTGTTGTCAATCAATAATCCTAATTTATATCCATATGCAAAATCTAGACAAGACACTAATATTATAAAAAACAGTTTATGGGAGATGGAAATCGGGCTTAATAATAAAGGAATTGAAACATTGGTGGGTCGAATTGAGTTAATTTTCCCTCATTAGATTTTCATTTTGGTAGAGACAAATTGTAGAGGGAAACAAAATTAAATGAGAAGAATGAAAAGTGTGGAGGGAAACATTGGAGAAGTGAAAAGTTGGGATGAAGATATAAAACTGAGAGGAGGGAAGTTTCCCACCTAAATGAAAATGTGGTGGGAGAATTAGTGAGTAAGATTAAGTTTCCAACTTAAATATAAAATAATATGCAATTGAGATAGGATAACTCTTTGCATTTTCTCAAATGTACTACATCAAATTAGTCATGCCTATAAGACTAAAATAAGGTTTGTTGTAGAGTATAGACCATATTTTAATCACTAAATGCTACACTCATAAATCATCATAAGTAAACATTGTGATAATCAAATTGATAATTAACTAAACTCATAAACCATCATAGTTAAATATTGTAATAAGTTTTCTCTTTTCTTTTTCTTAAAAAAATGAAAATAGAAGATTTTCCCCTTATTTTTCTTTCCATAAATAAAAAATATCAAAATTTCCCACCATTTTCACTTCCTATAAATCAAAAACACCAAAACTCCTTCTTTCTTTTTTCCTCAAAAAGTTGAAAAATCAAAATTTCCCACATCTTTCTCTTCTTATAAACCAAAGCCCTAAAAAATATGAATCAAGGTTCATGTAAAATTTTTGCAAGTTGTTGTCAATCAATAATCCTAATTTAAATCCATATGCAAAATCTAGACAAGACACTAATATTATAAACAACAGTTTATGGGAGATGGAAATCGGGCTTAATAATAAAGGAATTGAAACGTTGGTGGGTCGAATTGAGGGAATTTTCCCTCATTAGATTTTCATTTTGGTAAAGACAAATTGTAGAGGAAAACAAAATTAAATGAGAAGAATGAAAAGTGTGGAGGGAAACATTGCAGAAGTGAAAAGTTGGGATGAAGATATAAAACTGAGAGGGGGAAGTTTCCCACCTAAATGAAAATGTGGTGGGAGAATTAATGAGTAAGATTAAGTTTCCAACTTAAATGTAAAATAATATGCATTTGAGATAGGATAACTCTTTACATTTTTTCAAATGTACTATATCAAATTAGTCATGCCTATAAGACTATAATAAGGTTTGTTGTAGAGTATAGACAATATTTTAGTCACTAAATGTTACACTCATAAATCATCATAAGTAAACATTGTGATAATCAAATTGATAATTAACTAAACTCATAAACCATCATAGGTAAATATTGTAATAAGTTTTCTCTTTACTTTCTCTTAAAAAAAATGAAAATACAAGATTTTTACCTTATTTTTCTTTTCATAAATAAAAAATATCAAAATTTCCCACCATTTTCTCTTCCTATAAATCAAAAGCACCAAAACTCCTTCTTTCTTTTTTTCTCAAAAAGTTGAAAAATCAAAATTTCCCACATCTTTCTCTTCTTATAAACGAAAGCCCTAAAATTCTCTCTTCTTTCTTTTCCCAAAACTTGAAGCACCAAATTTGCCTCTTCTTTTTTCTTCAAAAAGTTGAAAACACTAATATTTATCACTTCTTTCTCTTTCTATAAACCAAAACACCAAAACTCCCCATTCTTTCTTTTCCCAAAAATTTAAGCACCAAATTTTTCTCTTCTTTTTTCTCAAAAAGTTGAAAACACCAAAATTTATCACTTTTTTCTCGGGCTATAACCCAAAGCATCAAAACTCCCCCTTATTTCTGTCTTTTCTTTCTTTTATTAAATATACATAATTTCAACTCAATATCATTTTTTAAACTTTCCTTTATAAAATAAAAAAATAGTTTTACTTAGTGTTACAACAAACAAACTTCATTTTGAAATTTTATATAATATAGTAATTATTCGGGTCAATCGGGCGGGTTACAGGTTAATCGGGTTCGGGTCAACCGAGTTACGAGGTTTAATTGGGTTGCGGGTTACTTGACTCACGAGTTAATCGGGTCACAGGTCAATTGGGTTGCGGGTCGGGCGGGTTGCAAGTCGTTGAGCTTTAGTCAATTCGAGTTGAGATGGGTTGCGAATCGAATTAGTCAGGTGGGTTAATCGGGTTGGGTTCGATTTTGACACCTATAGAAGCGACTTTGTGAATGGATTTTGATTGAAAATTATAGTATTATGTTTCGATGAGTTTTTATGAAGAATCTGAAATAGAGAACTAAGTTTGAGTGACCATTTGGCAAGTTTAGCTACGGCAGGGTTGTTGCAAAAAGTTGGTTTGTCGCCAAATATTCAATATCCCAATGGCTGCTGTTTTTTTCCGCTAATCGATCTGGGCGGCCCGGATTATTAGTTGGTTGGCAGTTTGAGTTGTTACTGATGTTTTTAACCGACATTAATTTTTAATATCGTACTGTCCGACGATTTGCCAAAATCGTTATAAAACATTTAGTGTTGACTGATACACCGACCTTTTTAGTTAACTGTCGGGGTATACTTTCCGACAGTTAAACCAACACTAAATGTGAAAAAATCAATGGTTGGTACTATTTTCTTGCAGTGTTACTATTTACTCTTCCAAGTTTGACATGAACTATGTTTAATAGAACACGAACTGATGGTGTCTTCCAAGCCGACGTGCATGTCCAACTTGGAAGGCTAAACAGGAACAACAAAAATCTTCCCCTATTTTTTCGTTCAATCGTGTTTCCCCTTTTTTGCAGTGGGAAATAATTGGTGGAAAGGGACAAAAGTAACAAATTAATGTAAGACAGGTGTTAGCAATTTGGAGGCCCGACGTCCATGTTGCCATGATGCAAATGCAATCCTTTTGGGTATCATAAGCAGAAACTCTGATCCAATATCCATACACAGACATCACTGGTAAACCTATACCTTTCCTCTTCCTTAAATCTCATAGGTCTGATTCTCTAGAATGTGATCCATTTTCTCCTAGAGCGAATGGTACCAAAAAAAAAATCATATTGATTTTACAATCAAATGTACTATATAAAATTTATTCGGTGAATTGTCAAGTAATTTTCATTATATTTCAAACTTCAAATAGTTTGATTTTTATATCTTCATCTCGTACAAGGTGGTTCAGTATGGTACTTTGCTTTGTAAAACACAAAATACTACCAAAATAAACATTAAAACTACAAAAACAGTGAAAAACAATAACAATAATTCTTTGACCATTTATTTATGGTAGTAATTACATATAATATCTTTACGATCAAACTTAAAAATAATAAATAATTTATTTGTAGTGGTATTTTGTAATATTTTGACTTATAATTTTCTTTATATTTATTTTCTATAAAAGATGTATTTTATCATGTCATGTTGTGCAAATAATCTTTAAGGTCTCAAAATTATTATGTCAGACACAATACACAACCCACTTATACACCGTGTCGTGCCCATGCTCGCGAAATTTAGACCCAACAATGCACATAAATTATTTGTGCTCGTGCTGGACTGTCTCATTTATTTCGTGCTCTATCTGTGTCATATCGTACTATTCCGTGGGAAGTCGGGCCGGTGTCCAGGTACATCTGCACGTTTGCGATTGTAGCATGCAACCGAAAATCTCCCCTATTATTTCGTTCAATCGCGTCTCCCCATTTTTGCAGTGGGAAATAATTGGTCGAAAAGGACAAAATTACTAAATTAATGTAAGACAGGTGTTAGCAATTTGTAGGCTCAGACGTCCTTTTGCATGGCATGTTGCAAACGCAATCCTTTTGGTATCTTACATCAGAAATTATGGTCCATACACAGACCTCATTGGTGAAACCTATACCACATATGACCAATCCCCGCTCTCTCTTGTTTCACAAACAACATTCGCCAAGTTTCTCTATATAAACGACCCCAACAGAGCCTACTTGAAACACACAAGGCAAGCTAACCATCTGCGAGTTAGACTGAAGTTGCCATACTACAGTTGGAAAAAAATGGCAGCCGCTTCCAAGTCCTCGATCTTCTTCCTTTTTACTGTCTTCCTTGGTGTCTCATTTTCCAATGTGGAGGTTGGAATGGCGGCTCGCCAACTTCTCTCAGCCAAAGGCGTGCCTGTCCCTGCTGGCGTTCCTGTGTCAGTTCCATCCGTAGCAGGTGTTCCCGGCGTCGCTGGAGTTCCATCTTCATTTCCATCCCCAGCCGGCGTTCCATCTTCCGTTCCATCCCCAGCAGGAGTTCCGGCTTCAGTTCCATCCCCAGCCGGCGTTCCATCTTCCGTTCCATCCCTAGCAGGCGTTCCATCTTCCGTTCCCTCCCCAGCAGGCGTTCCGGTTTCAGTTCCATCACCAGCAGGTGTTCCGGCCTCAGTTCCATCCCCAGTCGGTGTTCCATCATCTGTTCCATCCCCAGCTGGCGTTCCGGCTTCAGTTCCATCCCCAACAGGCGTTCCGGCTTCCGTTCCATCCCCAGCCGGCGTTCCGGCTTCAGTTCCATCCCCAGCCGGCGTTCCATCTTCCGTTCCATCCCTAGCAGGCGTTCCATCTTCTGTTCCCTCCCCAGCAGGCGTTCCGGTTTCAGTTCCATCGCCAGCAGGCGTTCCGACCTCTGTTCCAACCCCAGCAGGCGTTCCGGCTTCAGTTCCATCCCCAGTCGGTGTTCCATCATCTGTTCCATCCCGAGCTGGCGTTCCGACTTCCGTTCCAACCCCAGCCGGCGTTCCATCCTCAGCAGGCGTTCCGGTTTCAGTTCCATCGCCAGCAGGCATTCCGGCTTCCGTTCCATCCCCAGCAAGCGTTCCGGCTTCAGTTCCATCCCTAGCCGGTGTTCCATCATCTGTTCCATCCCCAGCAGGTGTTCCGGCTTCAGTTCCATCCCCAGCCGGCGTTCCGTCTTCCGTTCCATCCACACCCGGTGTAAGCCGCCTTGCAGGTGTTCCGGCTTCAGTTCCATCCGCACCTAGAGTTGATGGCGTTCCAGCTTCTGTTCCATCTCCAGCGGGCGTTCCCGCTTCCGTTCCATCCCCAGCCGGTGTTCCATCCCCAGTCAACGTTCCATCTTCCGTTCCATCCCCAGCCAACGTTCCGACTTCCGTTCCATCCCCAGCAGGCGTCAATGGCGTTCCCTCTTCCGTTCCATCCCCAGTCAGCGTTCCATCTTCTATTCCAACCCCAGCTGGCGTTCCTTCTTCAGTCCCGACCCCAGCAGGCATTCCGACTTCCGTTCCAACCCCAGCAGGCATTCCGTCTTCCGTTCCATCTGCACTAGGTGTTCCATCTTCCGTTCCAACCCCAGCAGGCGTTCCGGCTTCAGTTCCATCGCCAGTTAGCGTTCCATCTTCCGTTCCAACCCCAGCAGGCGTTCCGTCTTCCGTTCCATCTGCACTAGGCGTTCCATCTTCCGTTCCAACCCCAGCAGGCGTTCCGACTTCAGTTCCATCGCCAGTTGGCGTTCCATCTTCCGTTCCAACCCCAGCAGGCGTTCCGGCTTCAGTTCCATCCGCACCCGTGGGGGCTAATCCATCGCCCGCAAACTAATTAATGAATACTACGACAGAGCCATTGGAAAAAGGCTCTGGTGAAGTCCTTTGGGCTTTGATAATGGAGAAGGAGATCTACGAATGAATGTTATGTGCTGTTTTGTTTTGTTGTTTTATTGTCATTTCACTTTTGTGTATTGCTACGTGTTTCCGCGTATGCTGAAAATGATACTTGTGCTTACGTAGGGTTTTCGTTCTACCAAAACCTACGTATATGTATGTTGTAAATATGCTAAGTGGAATAAGACTTGGAGAGTTATATCTCTTCGGTACACTTATCTTGATTGTCGGCAAAATTATGTGAAATTGGTGTGTGTCGTTTTTATATTTTATTTTTTTGTAAAATTATTGTTTAATTTTGGAATTTGTTTGTGGTAATTGATAAGCTTGGAGTTTATTTTGTAAATGGAAAATTGGTTGGATTTGGCATTGTTTTTGGAACTTGGATTTGTTAGTAGGAGAGGAATACTGCTGTAACAGAGGGAGCACGGAGCAAAGGAAAGAACTGTTTACTAATTACTTGGTTTGGTATTTTTTTTAATTTTTTTTAGACACATAACTACATACGTGCCTATTTCTACCTGTTTCGAGATGACAAAAATAACTCACAATTTGGGCATTTCTCGAACTCAATTCTTTATGGATAAAATAAATCAGTTTCGGATAATGTCACTTTTAGTTTATATCCATATCCAACCAATTAGTTTGGGTTAAAATTAGACTCATTACATTGGTTATCCAAAAGAAAATGAATACACAACTTTAATGTGAATTTTACCTTTTTTTTAAAAACAAATATAAATGTGGAAACAACAACATTGAATGAATGAATTGGTTGAAGCAGATATTATTCTTTGTATATATAATTACATAAATCCAAATAGACCCATTTAGGTTTGACCCAAATAGGTTGACCCAAAAATTGGACTCAAGAATATTAAAAATACATATGAGTTCATTTGGATCCAATCCAATACCCATATAGATCATGACAAATGCAATTATCCAATGAGTTGATCCATTCTCGTTCTTAGCGGTCCCAACTCCCAATACAACCTCAAACCATCACTACAAGAAAAGATCCGTACGACAGCGGTTTGCAGGTAGTGGTATGCCTAAATCTCTGATTTGACAAACCACGACATGTTAACTAAATCGCGTCCTAGCCTATTCTTAAACAAAAGCACCCTGGCTACCATCCCTTCGTGCCGTCATAGTTTTTTACCTTAATATGATTAGAGTAGACGGGAGATTCTATAAACTCTTAAAAGAAGACCCTTGACTCATTTTCCTTTCCTTCAAAACAAAACCTTTAAAAACTGAGACCGACATTCCAGTATTCCTTGGAAGCCAAGGAACAGAGGAAGACTGGCTCTGATACCAAAATGTAACAACCTAACCCGGCCGGGTACTACTTCTTACTAAAATGCCCTTGATAAATAAAATACTCAAATGTTAAATTGCATCGGGATAATTTTTCAAAAATAAAATACTGAAAACACGCACTTGTAGTTCAAAGCAACGCTCTAACACATGGGCAAACTCAATACTTAAAATCTCCAAAATGATCTCCAGTCTATACTCATAATCATAAATGTAAATAACTACTAATCTCTAATGTTGTTGCTACTGAAACCCTTCACTAAGCATCCCCCGTGACGCTTATACTGCTCTCCTCTAGCTGGCTGGCCTCGAACTCGCTTCTCACTAACTGCTCCTCTAGCTCCTCTAGCTCTTCAAACTGGTGAGTGAGATGGGGTCAGTCTACGCCCTTACGTTTAACATCTTATTAATACTTGATCACTTAACTTAGTGGAAGTTGTTTTGTACATCCACTATTAAAAATCATGACTCTTGAAACTGAACTCTTAAAACTCAAATCTCTACTTAAATTCTTGACTGACACGGGATCTCTCACTAACTAGTCCGGTTGCCCAACTCATACGTATGAGAAGCCATCCAGACTTTTCTTAAACTTAAACTTAGTTAGGGGAGTCGTAACCATTCATCCCCCTAACATCTTAAACTTATCGTGGTGGCTCTTCACCACGATTCTCAAGAGCATAACTGCTGCCCATCTTAAAAGTCTCAAGAGCATAACTGCTGCTCTATCTCAAAATGTCTCAAAAGGCAAGGACTGGCGCTAGTGACTAAAAACACTTAAAACGACTTCACCTTCTTGAAGGTGAGTTACTTCTTTAAAAAGAACTTGTTCCTTAAACTTTAACCATAACTCAAACATAACGCTTTAAGGTAAATAGCACAAAATCACCTCAATCATAGCTCAAGCAAAGCACAATAGGCAATCATAAACATAACCAAGTAACGGTAACCAATTCACTAAAATACTCAAAATCATAATACTTAAAAGAGTACGTAAGACGTAGAATTTACCCTTTAACTCACCTCCTAAATTAAGTGGACGTGATTTGAATCCCAAAAAGGAACCCAATAGTCGCATTCCACCACCTGAGTGATCACCTTTAGTTGTTATTCTTTCTCGTCCCTAAGCTTGTCTATCATCATTACAGGAACTTGGGAAACTCTAGTCGTTTTGTGTTCCCCATGAGAGGCACAATGAATCCGCTTCCACCGCTGCAAGATCCCAATAGACGGACGGCCGCACTAGCACTACAAAAAAAAGGCCTATGGCAAGGGTTATTTTCATCTGTAGCAAGGGTTTTAACCCGTGCTACAAGATGTAGCAAGGGTTCCTACAACCCTCGGTTGGACCCTTGGCAAAGCCGCCCCTGCTACGTGTAGCAAGGGTTATATGCGACCCTTGGTGCAAGTTCTTTGCAGCGGGTATAGCAAGGGTTTAAACCCTTGGTATTTGTCTTTGTAAACTTCAAGTACCAGTCCCTCGTAGCATGGGTTTAAAACCCTTGGAAGATTCGTTCCTACATCTAACAAGGGTTTGAACCCTTGCTACACACCTATGCAAATTTATATAAATGGGGGACAGTAACAAGGGTTAAAACCCTTGCATAGTTTGTGGCTAAAGCTGGGAAACATTTGTGTCAAAATCAAAACGGTGGCTAAAGTCGTTACTAAAGCTAAGCAACAAATTTTGTAACTATAGATTTTGTAACTATAGCTTGGTTGCTAATAGCCTGGTCATTAAAAACAAATCCAGATTCCTTACTAAAATTCATAACAAACCATATTACACTTCATATCCTGAATCACAACATAATATGATTCATCATCCAAAATGGTGATCTTTACATGACTATATACTAGTCACCATAAACATTCAAACATAATCAAAGGAAAAATATTATGTTCATGATATTTTGAGTACTCAAAAGAAACCGATTTAAAAGCTACATCAGTCGATCATTTCCAAAATGCTTCATATAAGACATGTACAACATCTGATCACAAAGCTCGAGAACCCATTGACGGAGCAGCTTCACTAGTGGCACCCTGTTAACAAAAGAAAATAATTGCCAACAGTAATTCAAGAACTAATTGACCTAAGAAAACAAGCAATAAGCTATTAACTTTCACCTGTGCATCCATTTTTCCAACAAGCAAGAAGCTAATTGCCATAAGAATACATATACTATCACTGCAAAAGACTATAAACAATGTGAAAACAAAGAGTTTAAAGGTTTATATATCTTACTTTTACCCTTTATTTTGGATGGTATATATATATTCCAGGAGAACAATTATAAGGGTATTTCCACTTAGTCTTTGGACACCCTATTCTATCTATCAATATCTTGCAATCTGCTGAGGTGATTTTCCCAGCCACTAGGAGTGTACCTCACTAGCAGATGTCCCTCCTGGAAACCAGACTTCCCTATGAAATGGCATATCGAACTATAGCTAAAGATTCACTATGCATCAAAGAGACCCGTGCTCTTCTATGGACTTAAGCTTCTTTTTCTCATTTGTTAATATTTGATCCACAAAACATGCAAATTTTTTCCTTACAGTGTAGTCAAGGAGTCTAGAGATGATACCATGAAGGAAAACTTGATGAATCGAAGTTGTTGTTGCTGATGTCCCTGCCAACAACATACAAGAAGTAGTTAACTATGTGACTTTCCATTATTACTCAAAATAGTAACTGCTATGTGGATTCAGCTTACAGAGAGCTAAGGACTCCCATGTCGCTGATGTATGGAAAATGACCATTCAGATTATTGTTGGATAACCTCCTGTAAGTTATAACCAATCTGGTCAGCACGCTGTTCAAGCCTTCCTACACGATGATAAGCAGCACAAGTTTAGAAAGGTAAACCAAGCCATATGAGTCGTTAGACGTTTTCTGTTTTGAGGAAATCAAACTATAAGTGATAGGTACCTGATCAACGTCGATCTTGTAAGTAGGTACATGAGGGTATTCGTCGCTAAGTTTTGTTGTGACAGGAGATATAAACTTACCTGCAACAAATCTTAGCAGGAACCATATCGATTTTCAGGAACATGTTATGTGGAAAAGAATCTGACACCCATGAAAGAAACCGGCTAAACTTGTCTAGAATAAGGTGGGTTCAGAAAATTACAGGGGCCACACCACACAGCAGTGAAGTAGTAGACTGCAGGCAATGACTTATCTGTTACAAAGACGAACATATTTGACACAAGTTGTTAGTAGCATGAAGCAGTCGGCAACCATTTACAGCAAATGAAGTAAAATAGCTAACCTTGAACGTCTTTGAGAGAGCTATTAAACTCCTGTTCTGTCTTAATCAGCACAACATTTGATGAACCTGAACCTAACTTAACAACGAGACTAAGCAAAAAGAAGCTACAAACTTGGTCAAAAAGAAAAACCCCAATAAACCAACGCGAAAAGAGGATTACGAAGTGCACCTACTAATGAGCTAAAGCTCCTATTGAACTGCAGAGGAGTTGAGGCATGGAAGACAACTGGGGTTGTGCTTGCAGCGGCGAATGAGGGACAGCCGACGAGGAGTTTCTAGGATATATGAGCACTTGGTGAGGAGGTTAGGTTCGCCAGGGGAGCAGCGGTTTCCCCGAGAATCTTTACCCTGATCATATCCCTTACTATGGCAAAGCTTATCTGGTCCCTTGAAGTAAGCAGTCAGCTTCATCGAATGAAGAACAAAAGCATGTTTCCTTAGTTGTCTGCTATAAGAAAAAATGTAGTAACTCAGTATGTCTCTTGAAAGATTTGATGTATTCCATAGCAGCTATAGACACTTCAAGTTGATGCAGCCAAATTTAGTCACCATGTGCAGCCATGATCAAGATGAAACGGACCTGACGATAAAGTCCAATCCCACTGCCACACAAACTGATTGAGATGCATACAGGAACATACAATCTGG